CCCATCTTTTTTCTAGAACAGATAAAGAAGGACATTTTTATGCGTTTTTTTCTTATGTATATAAATATATATATAAAATATATATAGTTATATTTAATAAACGGAAAACTGGACAAAGGATTCCTGTTAGTAGAAGTAATCTAAATTTACATGGTAAATATGGACTAAAACAGGTGAACTAAATGGCATGTAAGTTTCTGTGGTTTGTTTTGGTTTTTTTAATACATTTTTCCATTTGTAATTTTGAAGATGACAGTGTTTTATCATCTAGAGTTCTGTAGTTCAGTTTTAACAGTGGCAAAAATATCTGAAGGTGAAAAGATCCATTATGAAAAACTTACATGCTATGTTAATCTCATTTCTAAATTACAGGGAGGTATAAGAGAGTGCTGTATTTTAATAACAAAAACTGTTGTACTACTTTTGTCAGCTTCATTTAGGATTGCATTTCATTAATGGATTCTTTATCTATATAGAGAGACATAAAAGTGAAGCAGGAGTTACAGGATATTTCAGTAGCACTTCAGTTACAGAAGTTTTCCAAATATTCCTCAGGGTTTACAGTTTCATGCATATATGTGCCATATCTGTCTGTGTTGGTTGGTTTTTCTATGTTCTAAACATAGACATTTGCTTATGTCATCTCATCTAAAAATAAAAGGATGACTCCATCTGAAAGAGATTTGCATGCTCACAGACCTATAGAATCTGGAAAAATAGGTTACATGCTGCATCTGTTTTATATAAACAGCTGTGTTGCATGGAGGTTATTAATAATAGTGTTTGGATGGGGTGCCTTGTATTTTAATAACACATTACAGTGTAAACGCTTTCTCTCCTTCTTTTGAGAAATCAAACTAATACAAAAGTAAAACCAAAAATTTGGTAAAACCAAAAATTTACTTCAGGGAAGGGAGAGCTTGGAAAGTTTTGTTAATGTAAAGAGAGGTTACATACAAGTTTGGATTTAAGTTTAGATCTAAAATAGGAGAAAGCAGTTGCTTGTTGCATGATAAGAAGGTGCTGTCTTCTTCAGTTGGAGCAGTATGGTATGAGAGACAGAGCTGGTTTGAGAAAATAACTGTAACTGCACCAGGAGGGAGAATGGTGAAAGGGGCAAAGTGCTGCTTCTGCTCTTGGATACCAGGGCAAAAGAATTTGGCTGAGCTGCTTAAGATGACAGTGCATCCTGACATGGCGTCTGGAAAACCCATATGATTTTGGGGAGCAGTCAAGTTAAGTAAAAAAACTGCTTGGTTTTCAATTGAAAGTTCACACTCTCTGAACTATGGTGCATAGTTTTCGAGCTAAGGTGTTTTGACTCAATTCTCTCTAATTGCATTATTCCCTACAATACCAAGAACAACTTAGTTATGCTCTGGGAGTCCCTTGGGCAGCTGCCTTTGCTTTGGTGGCCTCCTGTTCGCAAAAGAGGAATTGTGGAACATTTATTGTTTGCTATGTGTCCTGCTTTCTACCCACGCTATAGGAAGCCAGGCAGGAAGAGTGGGGCTTGTTTGGATTTTTATGTTTGCGAGTGCATGAAAAAAGTTTTCTCCTTTTCCCCATATAGCCAAGCAGGACAGGAGAAGGATAATTGGGCTGATACCCGCCCAGTGCAAGTAGAGGCAATATTTAAATGATATCAAATGGTAATTGCCATAGGTGAACAATGGCAGCTCATGCCCTGGAAAGCTTTTATTTCAGACATCTGTAATCAAAATATCTGTGTATCTACTGCATATATACTGTGTGCTCTGTTGACAAACATATAGCATGAAACAAGATGACAAAATGCCATTTAGTTACACTCCCACAGACTTTACCATTGTCTCTTTGCATTAAAGTGCCTAAAATGATCCCTTTCAAACTGAAACAAAGTTGTGAAAAAAATGAGGTTTTCTGCTGTGTCAGATCCAGCTACCCAAAGTTATTTGCCTTTTTCTCCATGATGTTGTGTAATGAACAGTTTGTTCCATTAACAGCTTTGTTAACACAGTTATAATACTGGGTTTAAGATGAGGTTAAAAGTTCCTGAGGTTTCTCAAATAACTCATATGAATCCCTGGGCTTTCTATGGACTGTATTATTAGTGACAGTGAACCTGAAAACACTGGAAAAAGAAATGTGTCAAACCAGAATGGTTAAATTAAAAAGGGAGGAAGTAGTATCTGCCCATAGCCGCAGTCGTCATAACAAGTTAACATCTGGGGAATGTGTACTGAGCCACTGTCACTTGCCTCTGAAGTGAAATGTGGCAGCTATTTGACAGTGCAGAGAGGCTTCACAACAGCTCAGGACAATAATAACATCTGCAGTTAACAACACTCCTCCCTGCAGTGCATGTGCCGAGAAACCTGCCATGGTGGCAGAGAACAAGGGAACCGTGTCCCCCAGTGCTGGGCAAAGCAGTGATTTAATGCTGGATGCTCAGGAAGGGCACTAGCAGTGCTTCATCCTGGTGGGTGGCAAGGTGTTTTGCAGTTGTGTAATTTGGTTGCAGTTTCCGCATGGGCTAGTGTTTGCTGGCCTGCATTGTGCCATCCAGGTGTGGGGACATCCAGGAGTTTGCTATCCCTGCCAGGACGTCTTTGTGCTTGCTTGCAACCTATGTAGTGGTCTGAGTTGCCTGCAGAGTTAACCTCGAAGTGTAGAAAAGTAAGGGAGCAGGAAGAACTGGGGTAGTGCTGTGTGCAGTTTGTCTGTTTTGGAAGCAGACAAAATGAGATACAGTCACAAGAAAAGCAGCCCATGGGGAAATCAGGTGGTGGCACAAGTGCTTTTGCTGATCTGTCTTGGTTCAGATCCTGTGAATTTTATTTACAAACAGAATTTCAGCAGTAAGTGACTTTTGAAGTACAGTCACTTTGTGAAAGAGGGCCCTTGCTTCACATCTTACCTTGGTCCTCTGCTCAGTGTGTTGCTTTGGCTGCTGCAGTGTTACTTTAAGTCACTAAAAAGCAAAAATAAAAGAATAATCAGGGAGTCATCAGCTAAACCTTGCAAGAATTAGAAGCCTATAAAGCAGATGGGTTTCTGCATCTAAAATCTTTCATTGTGTTGTCTTCTGATGACTCATAAACCATGGCTGGAGGTTGGCCATTAGAACCCAGGACTGACAAACACCAGTGGGTTTCACATGGAATTTTGGAGCCAGCCATGGCTGTTTTGACTGAGCAAAACAAAGCACAGGGTTTTATTTGCTGAGTTTAGTAAAGAAAAAAAAAAAAAAATCCAGCGCTTACAGTCAGATTCCCATGTTTTAAGCTCACTGTTGCCAGTGCTCATGTGAGATTGAGCAGTGATCACAAAGTCTTTGAACAAGCATTCTTCATGCTCTGCCACTTCTGGCTTTGCAGTTAATCATAAAAGAAGGCACTGATCGTGAACAAAGGGGGTGAGATAAGTTGAGCTAAAGCTATGGATAGGATTTTATCTCTGCATATTTTTGTTAACTGATAAAGTGAATTAAATGCAAGAATTGCTTAACAAATGTATAAACTGTAATTGTGCCAATGGGTTTTAGGCTGTAGCTTGAGGAATTTATCATTCAGATCTATAAGTTCATAACTTCACCCCAGGCAACTAGTGGAAAGCCAAGTCTTAGCTAAAAAGGTCAAGAGTTGCTTTTCAAAAGGAGGTAAGAAAATGTGAAGATGGAACACAAGCCTGCTGGGCATTTTCATCATTTTAGGGTTGGAGGGGGGGTGTGGGGTGTGGAGGGAGAGAAAGTTGATTTAAATGGAATGTCTCACATTATACAGCTTAAGTAAATAGGCTAAGTTTTTTAATTTGGATTTGCCCTGAAACTGTCTTGTCAGGAATTCTCTTACCTACTTAACAGGTGATAGTAGACATGTCATACAAATAAATGAACGTGTCAACTGTAATTTCAAGTGTTCTCAGCTGTTGAAAGGTTATTTCCTATAGTGGCTTCAAATCGGGGGGGGGGGGGGGGAATGTGCCCTTCCTACAGGCGGGGGTATAATTTTAAAGTTTCAGGAGTACACCAAAGTTAATGGAGTTGTCCCCACTTTGGATCCTGGGCTTTATCTCTTTTGTGGACCAGCAGATCTTAAGCAAGGAGGCTTATACGTAGGTAGCCTAAGCTGTGTGTTTGTAGCATTGTCCGCACTCTCTTGTTCACTTCTGGTTTCATAAAACTTGTAACGTTATTGGCAGGTTTTCCTCAGCCAGACGTTACTCAGAAGTTACTGTGGGGGACGTAGAGGCAGGCAGAGCACAATTTCCTTAGAAACTGATGGGAAAAGGCAATTCTTACATATTCAGGTCTTCAGTGTATTTCGTCTTCAGACTTCACTGTACTAGAACACTTGCTCTTGTACTCGGAAACACGGTATTTTGTTGATGCTGGCCTTGTCCAAAACTTACACTTTCTTAAATGGGACGGACATCACAGTGGGAAAGACTGGGATCTTTTTAGTCCCTCCCTGCAAGGTAGGTTTTGTCAGATGAAAGACTTAAATGCAGGAGCTGTGGGCAAGTGGCATTCGTTCCGTTCCTCTGAGGTACGGCTGGCTGTTACCGCCGCAGGGAGCAGGGTGTCTTGCAGCTGCCGCCTGTCAGCGGTGAGTTGCAGATTGTCTGTTGCTGGTGCCTCTGGCACAACCCGGCCACATTTCCGGCAGTCGGGTCTACTGCCACCCTCCTGCTTCTCGCCGGTTTTACCAGAGCGTCTATTTTGGTTAACTGGCCATGCCCTGCCCGCCCAGCTGCGGGACACAGCCGCGGCCCCGCCGCCAGGAGCCTGGCTTTTGTGCTGATAGGCGGGGACCTGAGCCCATCGGTGAGCAGCGGGCGGAAGGAGCGTTGCTCTTTGCAGCCAATGGGGCCCTGAGGAGCTGGAGGTAGGGGGGGACTTGCCTCGCATGGCAACGGCAGCGGGGCTGCGTACCTCGGACGGGTGGGGGTCGTTGGTGGAGCGGTAACGGGCGGTGCGGGGCTGCGCGGGACCCTTGTGCTCCGCCGGGCCGGGCCGGGCCGGGCCGGGCTGAGCTGAGGCGAGGGGACGGTGCCGCCGGCCGCCATCCCCAGGTGAAGGGTTGAGCTGTGTGTGCAGCCGTGCCGGGGCCGGCTGGTGCTCGCAGCTGCTGAGCCCCAGGGCCTTAACGTGGTCCCTGTGGGCTTTTCTAGGGGCGTCGATTTGTGAAAGCGCTGCCGCCGCAAACTGAATGCAGAAAGCGCGCTTTGAAGCTGGTGCTTTTGGTGGTGCTTTCTGCATGTTACCTTTGCCTGCGCGATTGGCAGCTGGGCGTGGGCTGAACGTGCTGTAGAGCGCTTGTAAGATGCTAAACACTTTGCACTTATGTACAGGGCTCGTAGGTCTCCCGCGCAGGAATCTGGTAGTCGTAGCCTTAGAAGTGACCCTAGTGTTGTATCAAACCTGCTTCAGTGCTGCATCTGAGTAAATAGAGTACAGTTTCATTTTATTTCTTTTTGCATTTGTTAGTATGGTCAGAAAACAAGGGGGTTTTGGGCCTTCTGTGTGCACACAGTCACTGCAAAATCAAGACCAGAGTCCCAGATCACAGGTGACACTGGGCAAAACTGTTAACATACATGGACCTAGCCTTGAATGGGTCCATCTAGTCCAGTACTCTCTGCCAGTGCCACCCGTGAACTAGGAAACTGAAAAAAAAAAACCAAACCAAAAAGCTAACACAAGGTGATATGGTGTGACAAATGCATCCTAGTTGATGCACCCTGTCTGATCTTTTTCAGGTTGAGATTTACATCACTGTCAACGTGTCTGCATCAATTTCAGCTGGTTTGGATGCCTTTATGTGGAAGAGGCACATTTGAACACAATTTATTCTTTTGTAGAACTGAATTAGGGAAATAATTCCATTTTGCAAGCCTAAAAAACATAAGCTTCCCTCCAGTTCAGTTCACACGTAATGTGTGATCCTCACTGATTCATAAAGTGTCTGAGAGGAAAATGCTAGATTGATCCTGGCATTTACCAGGCATTAGCACTTCCCTTCTTTAGTAAAAAAGACAGGAAGTCGATGGTTCACATTTTTATGAGGCCTTTTGGATACAGGTTTCATCTGAAAATAGTTATGTTATTAAAAAGATGTGCAGTAATGTGTTGTAATAATACTTAATATAAATGTAAAATGCTTTTTGGAATAAATTCTGGGCTGAATAATACCTCACTGGACATATAGGCAAAAATTTTATCGTTTAAAGCTGAAATAACCTCAGAATTCAGGCTTAACATATGACTCAGTAGGGTTTTTTCTTAAGTATTTACTGTTGCATATTTAGATTGTACAATCAAGGTCTTTCTTTGCTAATTAGCCTCAAAATAGCTGGTAATAGAATCCACTTCTTTGATTTCCAAGGGGGTGTCAGTGCTATGAAGAAATGAACTTCATTTCATGGCAAAACTGGTTGCAGGTGTACCAGAGAAAACCCAGTTAAAACAGTGGTATTTTTATATAATTGGTTTGTACAGAAAAAAATTGCTGTTTCATGTGCTGTTTTTCACCAAGTGATAAGAGATACACGGCTTGTTTTTGTTATGCAAAACTTCATAATACTATCTTGATACAGAACTGCATATAGCTAAGTGTAACTCTATGAACAAGTACTGTAAATACATTCTTCATGCGTTTGTAGGTAAATGATCAGGTAAAGAAAATTAACTTTATTGTTAAATTTCTGTTTGGTTCTAGATGAAGATTCTTCATTAGAAGACATGTGAATCATCTGGGGTTATACTCAACATCTGAAGTCAAGCAAAGAGGAATGCCATGTAAGCATTTTTTTTAACTATAGGAATGAAGATCTGAAAATATTAGTGTTTGAATTTCAGAACTTGAAAATAGTGAATTTGTCAAATATATCTTACAATGAAAAATGAAAGAGGAAAAAAACTTGTTGAAATTGTGCAAAATTGTGTATACAGCTCCTCAGAACTCCTACGTGTCGGACTGCCAGCTCTGAGAAGTCCTGCATCCAAGATCCTGCAGAAATCTGACATTTCGTAACTAGATAATTTTTCCTAAAAACACCCGCCTTAAAGTATAATAGTGTTGTTCTCACAGGAAAGCAGCTTCCTCATACCCCCTCTCTTTTTAAACTGACAAAGGCATTCATCTCTAGAGAGATTTTTTAAACTCATTTGTGGAGGAGGATTCAACTGGTACAGAGCTGGACCTAGTCATTTGGACTGTTAGGCACCGATCCTGCAGACTGATAAATCAGAGAAGTCATTGGTGGTGGAGACTGACTGAAAAATAAGTGTCTCAAATGCACAGATAGGTGTTAAGGGAAAAGATAAGCTATACCAATAAATGATTCGCTATACCAGTATATATTAGAATCTCTTAGTGTCCAAAGTCTGCGGGCATTCCAGAAAACGAAAAGTTGATAGCATCATCTCTACAGCTGTGAGAGTATAGGAGTATATTTTTTAAAATGTATTAGAGGGCTGGTGTCATGACTTATAAAAAAAATATTATTGGAATTATTTAATGCTAACCAAAGCATATACATGCCTTATAGAAAGATTTGGAAGTATGTATAAGTTTTGAAAATAGTAATATAGTTGTATTTCAAGTTGGTCTTTGAAGTCAACTCAGTGGGAACTCATTTTTGCGGCAGCTTTATTAGTACTGGATATCACGTGGCTGTTTCATTATGAGTTTAAAATGTGATACAGATGCAAAAAATGTTAAAGGAATGAGTAATGGTATCAGTTTCTTGATACTGACAAATTTAGTATCTGCCACTGTTTGGAGTGGGAGTACTGCCAGTGGTCTAGTTTTATGAGAGAAGTTTGGTTTAATGATCAGCATTGTTTTTTGTTTGCTTTATGTAAGAGACCAGTTCTTTGTGTACATGGTTTCATCTTCCCCTGCTGTGTTGAAAAAGATGCTATAAAATATGCGTAGAAGCATAAATTATTTTTATTTTGCCATGAAAACATAATTGAAGTATCTTTGGTTTAATCTGCTGTTAGGAAATGAAGTTTTGTTAAGATGTTGGAGTTTTTTTCCTTTACATCAAAGTATTGGATTTTGATCCCATTTAATTTTGGGAAATGAAGATAGCTGTCAAAATGACACTTCATTGTGGTTTGCTTTGATTACCAAAAAACTGGGTTGGAAGACAGCTCTGAAAATTCTGGAAGTCCATGGTGCTGGAGGAGTAATTTAAGTGTTTGGTGTTAACCAAGTGCCCCACTGTTTATTACAGCTATGTAATACATGCTTATAAATACCTCTAGGAATGTAAAATAATATGTTATGCAGCTGGCTGTCCAGGCTAGTAATGGCAGGACTGATGGTTAAATAGGTACAGAAGAAGGAGTGATGATAATAACCAACCAGGATCTAGCAAGCAGGGTTAAAAAACCCAGAAAGAACAAAACCACACACAAAATCCTTTGTGGATGTTACAACAAAGCCTGCTGTTAAGTTCAGCCCCTGCCCGTACATTGTCTGGGCAGATTCCGAGACCTAATTACTCCAGCAGTGTGCTGGACCTTGCCCCACCAAAATTAATATGGATGCTGTCCTGCATTAACCTAGTTGCAAAACTGGGACCTGACATTATGTTGGGGATCCAGCTGATGTGGGAAGAGAGGACAGGCTGAGGAAGTTGGGGCTGTTCAGCCTGGAGAAGAGAAGGCTGCGTGGAGACCTCATAGCAGCCTTCCAGTATCTGAAGGGGGCCTATAGGGATGCTGGGGAGGGACTCTTCATTAGGGACTGTAGTGATAGGACAAGGGGTAACGGGTTAAAACTTAAACAGGGGAAGTTTAGATTGGATATAAGGAGGAAATTCTTTCCTTTTAGGGTGGTGAGGCACTGGAATAGGTTGCCCAGGGAGGTTGTGAATGCTCCATCCCTGGCAGTGTTCAAGACCAGGTTGGACACGGCCTTGGGTGATACGATTTAGCATGAGGTGTCCCTGCCCATGGCAGGGGGGTTGGAACTAGATGATCTTAAGGTCCTTTCCAACCCTAACTATTCTATGATTCTATTCTATGATTCTATGATGTCGTCATCAGAAATGTCACTTATTTGAAACCTCAGAAACTTCATGGATGCAGGAGGAGGGGAGGGGGGAGCTTGCTTTTAGCGTGTTATATTGACAGACTCTTCCGGTATCTGGAAAACTGCTCTTCACTAGTGACTAAAGAACTATTATTAGTGTCTGAATCTCTGAAATATTTTTGTGTCTTGAATAGTTTTAAGACAGTTTAATCCAGTATGATCAAATATGGAATATTTTAAGCGTGTGGTGCATGCTTATTTTTGTGGTGTGTATGGTGCCAGGTATGACTTAAGACAGGATGCTGAGAAACTTTTTGAGGACAGTTAACATGAGGTCTTTTTGCTTGCTTGTCTGAAGGAAGATGACTTTCCGGAATTGTAGCTAAAATGCTCTTACATGAGTTGAGAACTGCAAACCCTGTTCTGGCTGCCTTTTTACATTAAAGAGTTTTTGGACCAGTACAGTGCTTTTCTGTTGCATTAAACTGTGGCTGGGAAATCTCCTCAAGTTACAAAAATTTATTTGAGGTTTACTGAAATATGCAAATTTTTGCTCCCAGTGAATCAATCTTCTTGGGCAGAAGGAGACACTGGAGTAAATTACCTTTTAATATTTTATATTATGCTTAGGGACGTCCTTTGGTATTTAATTGTCTTTGCCCATTTTGGTTTTTGTTCCAAAATTGTCATTGTAAAACCTGAAGAAAAAAAATAAAGCAGAGGCTTGTTTGCAGTATTGTATTTCAGTCTGGAGAATATCCTAATTTTTGTTCTGCAAATGCAATCCTGAATGAATCCTGAGTATATTCTATGATCGCTGTTTTACATACACAGATGAGTTTATTTTTGTGTGTGTGTTTTACAGTGCTGTTGTTTCTGATATAGAATATTACTTTGGGTTCACAGAAGGAGCTAAAAACAAATCCTGAATCTCAGCAAGATTCCTGTGAATCAGACATTTTCATTTCTGTGTTATGAGATTGAACAATACATCAAATGCCAGTTAAGACAGGTACTACTTTCACATCTGTATGTACTCCTGTTTGTCTAGCACTGTTATCTGCTAGACTGCAAGGACTGTAAATTATAAGTTCCTGTTTCAATTCCCATGGAAATTCTCTAGCTTTATGATAGGATTCACTGTGGGGTGGGGCTTTGTGATAGATTTCACTGGACCTCTACTTACAGTGAGCAGAAAAGCTTTCCAATTAAAAATAAATAGAGTAACTTAAAGAGGAGAGAATCATAAGTTCAGACAAAACAAGTAGACTTGATAAATCCCATGTGTTCTTGTGGTGTGTCAGGATTCAGTTTAGTTATTAGGCTTGGTTTTAGTGCTGCCTCGTTTCACACCCTCTAGCCTGTAGGAAAAGTCTCTGCCATACCTGTGCTGTGGTGGTACCTGTCTGCTCCTCTGCATGGAGCCTGTTGTCTCTGTAGCACCCTATCTTAGCTTGAATGGTAGAATTTGAAATGCAGATAATCATAGATAATTGTAAAAGGCCTTTGTTCTTATTCTTTCTGGTCAGTTTCTTTATAGTGTGTTTTGTACGAAGGTCCACACCAGTTTTAAGGTCTTTTACTTGTACTGAGGAGTTTTTCAGTGGTTTGTCCAATTTTCATCTTTCCTTTACATTGAGTTCATTATGGGCATAGATGACTGTTAAAAAGTAAGGTTCGGTTTTTGCTTCCTTTGAAGTATGAGGGAGTATAAAATATTACTGCCCTTTCGGGTTTATTTGCTCAGGCTCTTAATGACTTTATTGCCTCTTAGAGGTATGTGTGAAACTTGTCTGCCTTTTGATTTTCTTAAACTACAAAACCTGCTACGTTAAAGGTCCTCATTATTTGAAATTCCGTCTGCTCTGTTTTCTTTGTAGCCATTCCTTATTTGTTCCTAATAATTGCCATCAAAAACTCTTGTCTTTTTAGTTCATGAAAGGCAAACCAGATAGCTTTACATGACTTTGGCAACTAAGGAATGTCATTTAACTGTTTAAATGAGGTTTACCCTTTAAACAATTACATCTTACAAACCTCCACTGAAAACAGGCCTGCGAAATCTTGCGGTCATTGACAGGCCAGGGACCGTGACCAGCTTTTCAAAACTGTCACACTGTGCACTGTGACAGTTGTTCCACTGAACCTTTTTGCACCTGCTCTCCTCTCCTGAGCAGATTCATAAGAAACATGATATACATGAATATATACCATGTAAGTAAAATAATGTGGAATCACGACTGCTCATGCTGAGAAACAGCTCAGGTGTCTGGTTTGCTTTCTCATAGTCAGGGATTTCTGGAAAAACAGAAACCTCAGCTACTTTCTAGGAAAGAATAGCTCTAATTCTCCACATGCTCTAGTTTTCATTCTTTGAAGTGTTTATACTTGGAGAATATTTTGTATGTATTAGATCTTGGTATCTTACATGTTAAGAGCTAATGTCCTTTCACAGCAAAATACTTCCATCAGTTAACAGTTTTTCCACACAAAAGCTCCATCCACAGGCAGTTTCTCCTCTACAGGGGGAACTAACACCTGTGTTATAATATTGTGTACAGCAGCAGCGGTGCTTCTACAGATACAACAGAAAAAAAAATGCAAGAACTTGTAGCAACCATAAGGAAGTAATTCCCAGTGTGCAAGAGGCAGTGTAAGATGAATGCTGAAAGTTGTTTTTTAGCTTGATGTGAAATGAAGTAATCACTGGTGCAAGATCTTCCACTGATTACAGGTAGTGGGTTTTATACTGCTGAAACTTCTTGTGGTAGCAAATGAAACCTTTTGCATGATTCCCTGAGTGAGTGTGTGGTGGTGCCGAGTGCCTGTTTTGGTGCTGGAAGGTGACCAGGCAGTGTGGCACAGCCCACCTTGTGTTCCCTGTGCCTGGAGATGCTACAACAGGGTTCTGGCAGTTTCCAGACACAGAGAATGGGTCACTACTAACTGTGGAAGTACCAGTAAGCCACAGCAGTAGTAGGCAGTTGTGCTGCTGGGCATCCTGCTTTCCAGGTAAGATACTAAACCAAAAGTCTGACCACTCTTCCTTACAAGAGCATTAGCTTAATTTCATTACCGGATCCTACTTTTTGGCAATTTCTCCTTATAGTAATTAAACATGCAAGTAATTAAACATGCAAGTAAATAAGTGGTATGGTCTACCTCAGAGCTGGGTAGAGTGACAAAGCATTGTTTTCAGTTACAAGGCTGCCTTTGGGTTTTTTTTTTGATACAGACAAAAAAATCATCTTCATGCAGTTCCTGAAGGCACAGCAATACAGACCGTATTTTTGAATCTACTTCTGAGAGGTTATAAAGTAAAACTACAGAATGGCCAGAGATAGACCTCCTGCGACTGAAAGGGAATATTTTAATTAGCTGTCCATACCTTTGTATCAACTGGTTTAGATGTGTATCAGATGTTTGATGCGTAAAGCATGGATTCTGTTTTACTAGTAAAATCCAAGGTTGTTTTTTTTCCTTTGTTTCAGAAAGACTAAAGTAGTAGAATAGTTCATATGAAGGAGCCTTCCTGAGCAAAATGGTTTCTGGCACTCTGACCATTGGTGCCAAAACCCTGTGAAGCTGCAGCATGTTGAGGAGCAAGGCAAGTGAACTGCAAAAATAATGTAAGATTTTATAATAGTCTATAAATAATTTTTATATATTGTGGCATTGTATTAGTGTGAAACCTGACCTGTGGATTTCCACTTTCCTTCAGTTGCATCCTTTTTTAGACTTTGTCTTGCTTAAAGCTACTTACAAAGGTAAAAAAGCCAAAAGAATCACAACACTATTAAGGTGGACTGTGATTCTACTGTAATTTGACCATCGAGCCATTTGTGTAGTTACTCTAGGTACGTTCAGCATGCAGATGCTACACTTAAAAGCTGTTCTAGTCTTCTGCCATTTAAATGTGAATGTAAGTAGGAATCTTTCTTCCAGTGTCGTATGCAAAACAATAGTGTTTCTTTCCATTTGACATGACAGCAGAGACAGTTTTTGGTATAAACTTCTGGCTGTGCCGAAAACTGACATCAGCTTCAAGCTTTGTATGTCATTTTAAAATCAGAATTTGGTTACTGATGATTTGGTTTCATGAAAGTGATTGTTGTGCGTCTCAAAGCTGAACCATGGTATACTTGATTACACTATCCATAACTGTTTTAAGACTTATCTAAGGAAAAATTGGCACAGAAAATTTCTAAAGGTGACTTTCACTGTACTACTGTATACGGTAAAATTCTTTAGTGCTAGTGTCCTCACAGGTCAGCATCACCCATTCTAAGTATGCATTCCTTTGAAGTCTTAATGCACAGAGACATCTGATGTGTCTTAGCAGAGCAGGAGTTTCTTCAAGCTTGCAATGAGAGAGCTGTGATCGCCCAGTACTGGAGAAGAGAGTTTACTATAAGTGTTAAGTAGGTATGTTATGTTATATTTCAGAACAGAACACAAACGATACAAATGCTGAACACTTACTTTTAGGGTGAAGGACAAATTTCATTTATTAACACAAAAGTTTTTTCAGGAACTTTTCTTTGTAGAAATATTGTGGTATTTGTGTAGTGAACAGAATACTTCTTTTAACTTAAGCATTTCTCATGGTCTTTCACTATTTTTGTACAAAATCTGTGGGAAAGTAATAAAAAATAGTATGGCAGGAGACTTTTATGCACACTAAGGTGTGTAAAAGAAGGGTGGTTCCTGCTTTTTAAAAGATTTTCAGAAATCTAGATAGTTTTGCTTCAGTTGGTTTTTAACTCCCCTCCCTCACCTGTGATGTGGAAAACAGAAAGGTGGCCAGCCCAAGCAGCACTATTTCAGCTAAGTTGCATTTCACTCACAATATATGTTTAGCAAGATGCAGAGACAGATCAGGAAGCAGTAAGTGCTCTGTGTTACACAGCTGGCTGTTCCACTTGACAACAGTCCATCTGGAACACTGGTCAGCTAAAGCAGGGATGCTTGCAGGCACACTGGCACACATTTTCTGGACATGTCTGTTTGTGATATTACATTTGTTTGACAAGCTTTTTTGACAAGCAGAGGACTAAGCCATTTAGCAGTACTAGAATTAAGATCAAGCAGGGGAAAGCTTTGCAAGCAAAAGCAGCTTCTTTTCAGTAACTGGGAAGTAGCCCTGCTCTGTTGAAGAATCAGCTAGCAGTCCCTCTACTGGTGCTGTGCTGACTGGGGGGCAGGGAAGTCTGCATCTTAAGCAATGGGTTATGTTGGACAGGAGCCCAACTTTCTCATTACATTGACAAGAGGACAGCTGCCTGTGCTGTGTCTCAGCCTCTTGTCACGCAGCAGTCCAGACCTGACATTCTGCTTGCAGCAGGCAATGCCAGGGAAGCTCTCTCCTGTCAATACCACTTGCCCCTGCAGCAGACTCCAGCCCACAGGAGGGCTCTGATAAGTGTCAGTTTATTGCTTTTAATCCTCAGGCAGATGAAGCAGGGATCAGCACATCCTCTGTGGATGGCTGACAGGAAATGGTATAAGGTCACTCTTGGGGGCAGGGCATAAACCCTATTGTAATATGGTAACTCATAAATTACCCTTGCATTTCCAAAATAAAGGTGATTTAGATACAGGGTGGGTGTTAAATGCAAACATACCAAGTAATACGTATGTACAATTTATTTAAAATACTTTTAACATACATATAAAACCCCCTCACTATTTATACAGTCTAAGTTCTAGCAACATATACAAATCCTGAGCAACTACAATACATGCTGAGGTAAGAACATACATTCTGGGAGAATACTCAAGCCAAACAAGATTGACATACATTTGATATCCATGTCTTCACATGTAAAAAAGAGACCCATTAAATGCACCTCTGCTTGTATTGTACACAGGAGAAGTCTAATCTGAAATGTGTCATACAAGTTACATTTGTGAACCAGTGTTTACAGTTTGTGGCATTACACAGTCAAAGTTGGTTAACCCTAGCAGGTAACATTTTCAAAGCTGACAGCAGGGAGCAAAGCTTGGGACCAATTTCTTTCAAAAAAGGGACTTAAATTCTTAAGAACACCCATTCCTGTTAACAGCTCATGCTGCCCAGATAATGAAACTGCATTATGGTTGTTCATAAAATAAGCCCCTGTAGATAAACTGTTCAATTCTGACACCATCTTAGCCTACAGTATATCCACAGTTCTACTGTACCTGGCCTACAGAAAATACTAAATCCAAGAGCGTTATTTATTTACTGACTTAAACACATCCATTTATTTTTATGGTAGATTAACGTTCCTAAGCCTGGTACATTTTGAAAATGCAATGCTTTCTTAACTTGAATGGAATATGTCACACCTTTCAAATAAAATCAGCTCAGATAATTTCAAAGTCATAGTTGCTGCTGATGGACAAGAACACTTACTTACCTGTTTAGGCAAGATGACAAAGAAAGACTGCAGACTAGCACTATCAAGCAGAAAAAGTTGTGCTATCATCAAAATACAAATTCCTAGGAAGGAATTGCTTTTTCATGAATGGGTCCAATATACCACCCTTACTTACATTCACATTTAGGCTTAAGACACCCAATTCTAAACAAACAAACAGAAAATAATTCTCAATGAATGAGAATGATCAAAGAATTGTAGAATTAGGCTTTAAGGCAACACAGAGTATGTAGTAACACATTCTAGGTGTTAATAACAGGCAACAAGTCATTTTGGATTTCTGAGTTTACATAATAGCTTCTATGCAACCAAATCTTTAAGTGATAAGGTAGGATACCATACTGGTGTAAGACAATGGTGGCAGCCTTCTTGAACAGTAGCTGAGTTTTGATTTGATTCTTCTCCACCTGATTTAAGGACCCAGGGTGTTAAGTAAGGCTGACTTGAATTACTGTACAGAAACGAAGAGTAATCACTGAGTCCATAAAACTGGGCTGATGTGTATGTCGGGGGTTTCGCATGATAAATTAATTCAGCATCCTCCCAACTGTGCTGTTACCATAAAAATAAAGCATTTTTATAGTGGGTTTTTTCCTACTACTTAGGTTCAAAAGCTGTGCTTTGTTTCTAACAAGATAAAAAATGGCAAATACAACATTCAAATTGTTTTCTTTTCTTTTCATGTTTACCCAGCTAAAACTAGTTACCCCAAATGGAAGACTGACCCCAAATTTTCATAGCAGAGAATATTCGAAGGATACAAATTCCATGTAATGCTTTTGAAATGGACAGACCCTCTTTGGAACAGTACTGGTTCTTCTGTAAATGTTTTGGAATCTTTTATACTTCTAATAAGAATAATCGTAAGACAAGCCCTAAGGCTAAAGTTTTTCAGTTGCGGTAAAACATACCATATGTGCTAAATGTGTGTATGACAACACAAACTGTGCACCATTAGAATATTTGCGTGCTTCCTTAAGCACTCACAAAACTATATACATATCTTTCTTTGTATATAAGCTCACATCTTAACACACAGAAACACATACTCTGGCACAGGCAGACTGGGGGACAGAGGAAACCTTTATAAATTTGGTCACCCCAAACACCTCTGTCACACTGACCCTCGGGGAAGCCTAAATTCGAGGCAGACACTATTCAGAGTAGCCTTTACTTAGTAGAAAAATGTAAAAGCAGTTGCCATGCAGTTTGCTTGTATGGTTTTATGTCTCCTGGCTCCCTAGGAAGGAACAAGACTGAGGGGCTTAAGGAGATGAGGCAGAAAACAGATTGTAGAGGCAGCAGGTTCTAGTTCTGGAAGGTGAATGAAAATGGTGGGAACCTTCTGAGGAACATGCGGTTGATGATTCCTAATCCTGTGAACAAAAGCTGAAATAACTTAATTCAGAATCAAACCCCTGTTACGCCATGAAGTTAACAGGATTTTTGCCATCAGTCCTGACAGTAATTTTTGAAGTCCAAGGTTATACAGGCATTAAATAAAGTAAAATGAATTTTAGACACTACAGTGCTTACATATAGCTCTTAGAAAGTTAGAAGCTTTGGGTTTTGGTCCCATCAACTCCCCCGCCCCTCCACAGTACCATTAGCAAGAAATTACTGGCTTTTGTACTTTAAACTGTTTCTCCCAATTTATCATTCACATCTATCAATTACTGAAGCTAATCTTGAAGAGTTCTTCTCTCATGTCTGACAGACAATTGTACAGTAGTAATAAAACTGTCCATGGTTTTACAGGAGACAAGCTATTAATTATACGTACAGCTTCAGGAAAGGCAGGATTACCAGCTTTCCTGACCTTGAGTATCACATCTTTTGGTTCAGCATTGTATTAAGACTAACAAAATCAAAACAATGCAATTAAAAAGTGTAACTGTCAGCTTTATGGAATTGGCTTTTAAAAGCAAGCCATCATTCTACCTTACTCATGAGCTGAGTTCATCCTTACTCCCAGTGGCATGGGCCACACTCTGTGGTACCTGGTACACCAATTCATCAGTGGTACCTGGCGCTGGTTGCCCCTTGGGTGTATCATACAGCGCCTGTGCTGAGGATGTGCTGTCTGTCCTAGATAAGAGTTTATTGCAAGTTCCAACCAGTGGAGGAGCTTGATTCCCTGCAGTTTTGAAGGTGGAAATGGAAGGAATGCCAAGAGGTACGTTGGGATGGCTGGACATGTCCATGATAATGGGAGTTGCATATTCTGGTCCAGTTATAGGTAGTGGTTCAGCATAGGCATGATAAACTTCCTGGATGGGTGAACTGTAAGGGTCCAAATCAGCATAACTTGCTTCTTTTCCTTCCTCTGGTTTAAAGGTGGATCTCTGATGAAGCGTGCCAACAAGTCCCCCTACCAGTGGCTGAGCATACTCTGTGTTGCAAACCCCAGCAAAACAAAATAAAAACACACTTAAAGGAATTATTTTTTTGCAGTGACATTACATTAAATACAACCTATCAGTCACTAGCATCACAGACATTGTTATCTTAGATCCAGTCAGTGATCCGTCTGTCTGCCAGTGGTAACTGCTTTGGAAAAAAGGAAACATTTCACCCAATAGATAAAGCTACTGGGGACAGCCGCAATATCCCAATTTCTCAGGTTACACTTCTTCCCTTGTGAGCTGCAATTTCCCATGCTGTAAATCTGCTTCAAAACAAAGTCACCTTTTTGAAGAAAAGTGAGAAACCCACTAGCTGTGTAAAAACAGATCACATAGAAAGAGGAATGGACTCTTCATTAGGGACTGTAGTGACAGGACAAGGGGTAACAGGTTCAGACTTAAACAGGGGAAGTTTAGATTGGATATAAGGAAGAAATTCTTTACTGTGAGGGTGGTGAGGCACTGGAATGGGTTGCCCAGGGAAGCTGGGAGTGCTCCATCCCTGGCAGTGTTCAAGGCCAGGTTGGATGGAGTCCTGGGTGAGATGGTTTAGTGTGAGGTGTCCCTGCCCATGGCAGGGGGGTTGGAACTTGATGATCTTAAGGTCCTTTCCAACCCTAACTATTCTATTATTCTATGTAATTCTCCCTGCCATGAAGCCATAACTCCCGCATGCCTGCACACTGCCACCATCAGTATGTAAGCACAGAACCAATGGCAGTGTCATTCATCTTCCCCTAATGACTGGTTCACCAGGGGAAGGGCACATGCCATTATCAGGAACTCCTCCTTTTCTAGATCAAAAGAATTATATAAGCCATACAATAGGTGTAGGGAACCAAGTGCCACATTCAAATGTATGCATAAAAATAATGAGGTGAAATTGCTTCCAGTGCATGAAAAATATCCTTCAACCCTTTATGGGGCTTAAGACCAAATACAGGTAAAATAACTGCATTAACTTGAGAAAGTGTTATTTACAACACTTCAAGTCAATTAATCCAAACAGCTTTGAAAAAGCCTGCATTTTAAGTGTGCTTACCAACAGAACTACTCATTTTTCCTCTGTTTCCCCAAACAAATGGGAAATAATTAAATGTAGTCAGTTTCTGACATTTTTTAGCATGTCTAGTTAGTTATTTGTTTCCTGGCCTGCAAAACCAGTAAAATGTACCTGCAGACTCTGTTTGCAGTATCGCTGGGACTTCTCTTGGTCTTAGGTGACTTATTTCACTGCTGCTGTAGCGTACAGGCGTTTCTTCATGTTCTGCTGACTTTGTTGGGAGAAACTGCTTCATTCCTTTCCACCATCCTTCACAGGGATTAAAGAAAAACAACACCCAGGCCTGCATATATACTGTATTTTAAGCTGCTAAAATATTTCTACAGCAATTACCAGTATTTGCATAACCCCAGGTTACAAGGTATTTTAACATTTTCTGAGGTAACAGCATTACTCTCACCCAAACAGCCTGCTTGACTGCTCCCCATTCATATGCCTGTAGAACTGCTGCAGTCTAGTGAGCCCACACCCCAACGTCCATTAGCAGCAGTGCTGGAGCTACTCATCACATTAATAAACTCATAAAATACAACACGGCAAATACTAAAGTCAGCCATTATTCCAATCTGTAAATTGAATATTTACGTAAAATTTTCAATAAATCTCAGCTATAACCTCAAGAGTACATTTAATTAATGTGGCTTCTTGCTATTAATGTCCTGTTTCTAACTCACATTGTCAAAAATAGTTGATAAGTGAATATCTGCAAAAACCTGAATAAAAAGGATTTTAACTTCAGTGGAAACAAAAAGGTGTGACTGTGGTCATGAATGTTCCCTTGAGAGAAGGGAAGGGGTGGTGGTTGTGTTAGGTTCCCCCATCTCTCCCCCCAGCAGCCACAGCCATTCTAGTTTTGCTGTCTATTAACACATTTCATTCCAGCTGTAAGAGACTATCCTGTAGGTAAAACCCAAGAAATGGGAGATTCAAAACTGCAGAACACCGTTTAACAAAGTTTGAGGTACCTGATTGGAGGGGGCAGACAGAGGTTCCACAGAGAAGCTCAGCAACATTATTGTGATAGTGGATTTTGCCAGATTTGCTTTTAAGCAGATCTCCATCCTGAACATTTAAATTTAAGCAAATAGGAAAAAAACCTGGCATGTCCATCATTGTGACTTAAATACAAGATACTTTGAGCCTATTAGTCTGAGACAACAGTGTTGTGACCTATCAGAAACAGACATGTCATAAATAAAAATAAGGTCATTAGAAAGTTTCTCATCTAAAGGATAAGGCCTACTTAAAACTGCAGTGAGCAAGCACACTTGGGGAAACTTTCACCATAAGGACAGGGAAGTGTAGTCTGGTCATACAGACAGTACAACCCCAAGTGCTGCAGCAGCCCTTCAAGCTGTATGTAGCACAAGCATTCTCAGGACACTTGCTAAGTGCTGCTTGGTGGAATTGTCTGATCTTAAGTTAATGGAGCACAAGACAGTAGGATGGAAGATATGCGAAGAAGGGGTTGCAGACAACCCCACTTGCTTCATATGGCAATGAAGATGGACAAAACTTGAGAGACCTTACACACTAAGATGAAAGTTTTTTTTCCAGGACAAAAAAAGTACCAAATACATGATTATCAAATGTAGAAAGACATTCTCATAAATTACTTCTTCCCCTCGTGTGTAATTAAAAGGTTCTGTAGTTTGTTTCCTAAAGGAGATCTGAAGCTGTAAGCTCTAGCAGAAGACAAAGCATTTTTCTATTTCTGGGAAGAGCAGTAATAATCCCGGGAATTGAAGCAGTTTAGTCTGTCCAGAATAGCAATTCAGTGCTCACTAGGCCCACATCAGTTAGCATTAGAGAAGCTTCTGCTAGTGGAAATTGTCAGTGTTGCTGCTATCTGAAATATATATCAAACAAAAAATGTGAAGGATTTCAGAAAACTGTTTCGTTACCTGCACGATCCCAGTAAGGTAGATCATAAGTGCCCTCAGTTTTTTTCTTGCTGTGAAAAAGGAGATGTTTTAGTTCATGTATTTATCAGAAGGTGCATTAATTAACACTCAGCAACTATCACCTTGGCTGTAGCTGGTCATCAGATTTAACACAGAAGCACCAGTAACCTGTCTTGCCATCACCAGTGCTGCTACTGGAGAAACCAGTTTTCAGTAAAAGCACTTGTAAGGAGAACATTACAAAAAGCTATTTTCACTGCCCTTGCGAGTCACAGAGAATACAGTTCTGAACAAACTCCTTCCACAAGGGCAGACCGTGTAGCTCCCACAGCAATACATGCAGCACTGCATTCCCCGCACCACGCTAACATTCATTTAAAGCACTTTCATTAATCTTGTCATTTACCGGTTTCTCCAATGCCACGCACAAACTAAGATAAGAATCAGAGTAGTGAAGACCATCACCAGCACTGGAACCAGAACTGCTGCCAATGCCACATCTGAAAGCCATTAAATTAAGTTGTGTCAGACAGAAGAGCTTCTCATAAATCAGTGTTTAATTTGCAAATTACTTGGGTAAAGCACATAGTGTTCATGCACAGCATCCATCGCACCAGATTCCCCCAGCTAAGCTACCCTGCTGGATGCTCCCAGTGTAAATGTCATTAGCATCTAGCTCTTCTACAGCTGCTATTTTTGCAAGGTTTGTCATCAAAATCAACACATTCTACCGTAAGTGAGGTGTTTGTGTTAGAACAATATATTTTATTATTAACAAGGAAAATCAAGAGCAACTGCTGAAGTTTGAACCTCCTACAAGAAGTAAACACTACAGTACCTTAACAGAAGCAGTCCACGCTGGGTCTGACTATCCCCTACCATCTAAAGGACATGTCACCAGTGCCTTCATCTGCAGTGATCTTGCTCCTTTTCCTGACCATTTTCTTTGATAATAAAAAACATGCTGCTAGATGGCGTTTTTTGAATTTCATGCTCCATAAAATATTAGCTATGTCAAAAGTGTTTTGTCCTAAGAATTTAACAACTTGAATAATGAAACAGTTAAAACTGATTAACTCCGAGTCTCCACTTCTCCTGACAAAATTTATTCAGCAATTAAAAGCTGAACTTGGTTTGAACAAGTTTTGAAAGAAAGAATTTATATATTTAATACGACTGTCATGGTTTAATCCCAGCTTATAATTAGCTTGCCACAGCCACTTGCTCACTCCCTGCCTGGTGGGATGGGGAAGAGAATGGGTGGAAAGTAAAACCCATGGGCTGAGATAAGAAAAACTTAATAAATTAAATTACTACTATTGTTATAATAATTGTAATGAAAAGGGAAACAACAAAAGGGGAGAGAGAAATAAAACCCAAGAAACGTAAGTGATGCATAGTGTAATTGCTCATCACCTGCTGACCAGTGCCCAGCCCATAAGCAGCAATCAGAACCTACCAGCCAACTCCCCACAGTTTCTACACTGATAATGTTCTATGATATATATGGTTCTTAGCTAGTTCAGGTCAGCTGTCCTGGCTCTGCTCCCTCTCAGCTTCTTGTGCTCCTCCTCAGTGGCAGAGCATCAGAGACTGAAAAGTCCTTGATCAAGGTAAGCGCTACTTAGCAAAAACTAAAATATTGTTGTGTTATCAACACTGTTCTCAGATCCAAAGCACAGCACCATACCAGCTACTAGGAAGAAAATTAACTATACCAGCTGAAACCAGGCCAATGACTTAGATTAGTTTTGTTTCTGCATACAGTATGCAACTGTTCATTTTTTATCACTGGTAAATATTAAATTTTTTTAAAAACTGGTAAATATTAAAAAGAAAAGACTGGTAACTTGCTAGCATCTATTAAGCGTTGAGAAAATTTAAATTCAGAAAGCACACTTAATATATGCTAGGGTACTGTAAGGAGTTCCCAAACACTTTTACTGCTAAACTGTGGATACCTTTGGTTACACTTGGAGTCACTGTAGTGTTTTTTATTTCAGGTGTGAAAGTTGTTTTATCTGTCTGCAACGAAGTCTTCACTGAATTAATGATGTCATCACTGATCTCACTGTTTTTGTTATCATTCTTGTTCTGAGGTGGAGGTGGCAGGGTGATTTTAGGAGCACGGCCTTTAGAAGAAAAGAGTTTTATAAAAAAGTGATTAGAGTTGCTAGTTTTCCATGTTTCCTTTGCAGGAGAAGACAGCTGCAACAGTTTGCTCTAAAGGTTTTTGTTCATATTATACAACAAGGAACCTCATCCCCCATGTGAATCAGTGACATGGAAAGCAACTGACTGGTGTCTTTTGGAACATCAGTTTTCTAAATTACCTAGTTCACACCTGAATGAGCTCTTTTCCAGGTTAAGTGTAATAATTTTTGAAGAAATTCAGAGGTGTCAGTTACAAAAGAATTAGGCAGCTAAGATGTACTTTTTTCCTCATTAAAATATACCCCCAATATCATATTTGCCAAATTATCTCACTGCTTGTCTTGCACAGTTGAAAGGTTTTCAGTCACCTTACCTATGCTAAACTGACATCCTAGCAGTTCTACTTTCATTGCAATTTTCTGGTGCCATTTTAAGGGGTTAATCCTAAAAAAGCGTGCAATAATGGGTGGAATGAAGTTGTTGCGAACTTCCTGGTACAATTCAGTGTTCCCTTGAAATACCTAGAAAAGAAAGGAAAAAAAAAAAAAGAGACAAACATAATGTTACACAACTGCACTAGCTCATGCCTGGGCTCCCCGATATACATGATGTGTCTCCATTCTCAAAAAACACACCCACCCCATTACTGTTGCTTACGCCTAAGAATTTTGGTTTGTCCTTCCACAGGCATTTTTTTCAAGCACCAGCTGATCAAATAGACACATACCTCAGTTTAGTTAGGCATGGAAAAATAAATCATTTGGTAATTTAAATGCAGTACTTCATGTCTGAGTGTATTGGAGATTCTACATCTGAAATTAGTAACCAGCATTTTCATTTGTAAGTATCAATACATACAAATGCAGCACTATCAGACTAACTGCTGACCCATTCATGATACTATAAATCTAGGTAGGCAAATACCTTGTATTTGCCTTTAAGGTATATAGTCTCCGTTCTTTCCCAGCCTACTGCAGTGCAGATTTACAATCACAGATTTACAATTTACACTGTGTTCAAGTTCAAGGTCAGACTGGATGGGGCTTTAAGCAGCTTGGTCTAGCGGAAGGTGCCCCTGCTCCTGCCAAGGCGACTGGAACTAGATGATCTTTAAGATCCCCTCCAGCCCAAACCATTCTATGGTTCTATGGCTCTCAGTCATACTTGTCCCACTCTGAATTTAAGCTTAGTCTTCTTAAATACACTTACTAGCAATGAACGCAGGCAGACTGAATGCAGGGACAAGTGTATTGAGGTTGTTTTGGAAATAAGAATACAAAGCAGTCAGTTTGTATGTCCATGGAAGAGTAGGTTCCAATTTGGAGCCACTTTTCCCCCTAAATAAGGGCAATTTTCAAGAAAGTAACAGTAAAGCAGTTCTTTACTCCAGCCTTTTATTAGTCAAGCTTTTGATGTCAGGTGTTAACGATAGTAACTTAATTTTACCTGCAGCTTGGTATTTTTTGTTCATTTAATTATTTTTGCATAAAAAAGTTTGCTTCTGAGCTCAATACAGGGCAAGTATTTCATGAGAAATCACATTTATGATCAAACTCTCTCCTGTTTGCCTCTGTGCTGTCAAACAAAACTTTTCCAACACTGCAGCTTTGTTTTGTCACTTCCCCCAATTCAAGCATTTTATTCTTTTTCTCATACATGAAAATTTTAAGAAAAACTTTTTTTGAGTACTGACAGGCTTCTATTACAAAGAGGGCTACACAAAAACCTTGGAAAAGCTTCTGGTCTCCTACACAGTGTTAGGAATTTCAAGTATCTTTCAAAAAAACAGGGAATAGCACCTTCTGGTTGGTGTGGTGTGCAATTACTTAAGACTCAAAGGGAGAAGCCTGTGTGCACATGCATTCAAAGCAAACCTGCGTCAAGCAAGATCATGTCAGACAGAGGAAAAATTCACTAGTTTGAAGCCTAAGCAACCAGACTGAACCTTTTTTTCTGCCATTTGACTACAGCTGGCAGTTACTGGGTATGCACGGTTAGTTCTTCATGTGTTGTACCTAACACTACAAAGAGTGCATAGAAGAGCTTTTGCCTGCAATTTCAGGCTCCACAATGTATTTCATTTCATGAACTTCAAATAAACAAAGAAAAAAAAAAAAACTAAAAAGCAACAGCTGCAGAGGTTTTCTAAGAAAATAATGAAACTAAACAAGAAGCCTCAATAGATCTGGGCAGCTCACAAGCTGAAGCTGAGATTATATTTTACGGTCACAAGAGGGCACTCCGAAACTAGCAAAAGACCTGGATTTGGTTTGAGTTTTGGGGTTTTTTTCCCCCCTTGAATACTTCATACTAAGTCTTGTTCACACGCAGGTTCGAGGAGATGAACCAGCCCCAGCAGTAAAGTCTTCTCTCAGGGAAGCTTCCTACTATGGTTAAGTTTAGGGTTCAAAAACCTCATAATATAACAAACAAAAAGATACTTCAACCTTTCACTTCACCATAGGATGCTACATCCTATACCTTGAAACATTCTAACTCACAGCAAAGGGAAGAAAACCAAGTACAGCTAAAGACCAGCTTAAGCCCAGTTTCTAAAAAGTTACTAGGTTACTGTTACATGTATGTTGTATGGCAGGCCTATGGAAGTAAGGTAAATTACATCCAAGAATTTTAAGAAAAAGAATGAAGTTACAGTCAGATTACCAAGAAACCTCTCCATCTGTTCAAGAAAATCTGCCCCAAACCATGGGGAAGACCACATAGGACATTAATCTTCTCATTTTTACTATCAAATACTGCAAAACTGTAAACACAGGGAAGATAAGATTATCTTGCCACTAACATCAGGTAGTTTTTCTGTGTAGCAAAGCAGTTTCAATCTGAACATGCCATTCCATTTCTTAAGAAAACTCCGCTCTGCAAGGGCTGTTCTATTATACAAGGAAAAAACTTTGTCAGGTTGGGTCAAAAAGCAAGATTGATAGAAGACATAAAATTATACAGCCCCTAACATTTATTCTGTAACCACAAGAGGATAAGAAAGTAAGCCTTAATTTTAAAATATACTACCTCTTTTGAAAGAAATCTCATTATTCTTAAAAGGGACACACTACCAGTCAGCTTACCACTGACAACAGAAGTTTCTTGCACAGAATATTCTCATGCCCAAATACTAATAATTTCTGAATTTCAGGACTGTTCAAATTCTTACATATTTGCATATTTTCTTCTATGTAGATGCCATTTATAATTCAAAATTACATGGAAAGGGAAGTTATTTAATGTTTCCTCACCTTACCAGAATTAGTCCTATTTAGAATCGTGAAATGTCCATAGAACATACCTAGAAAGTGTGTGGTATTTTTACCTTATCTTTATCCATGCCAGGTTCTCTGTATGCTGTCCATTTCTGTGCATCATCACTGTACAGAATTCTGTACGCAGAGACATAATAAAAGTACTCTGCTAAGGTTGATCCAGTAGTTATAATACCTGTGAAAATAAAGGTGCTCCATTAGACAAAAAATGGGTACCAGCTTGTAAAACTTAATAGATCAGCTTTTGAATCCAGAGCTACACACTTGGAATCTCCACTGGCCCAGTTACATTTCAAAAAGTTTATCCAAAGTGCCAGGGTCTGAAACTTCTACAGTGACTAAAACTTAACAGTCATTTTACTTACTTTTATATTTCAATTCTCATGAAACAACCTTGCTAAGCACTTTTCCCCTATTTCTTGATACACACAGCCTGCTCATTTGATCATGGCCCACTTCCTGTATCCAGTACTGCTCCTCACTGCTTTTGTACTGCCAACCACAAAGCACCACTGAAAGAACCATAGCTTCCTAAAGCCCACACTTCAGCACCACACAATGACTCACACAGGAAAGCTGTTTTGTAAAAGCTTATTAGTACAGGAATTAGAGGAGTAATGTAAAATCCAAGCAGTCCCCAGGGAGGTAATAACAAAGGCTGCTGGCGAACCCAAGTTGTTTAATGACAGGAAGTCAAGCTGCTAATAGCGCAGTGTGCAGCTGAGCTTAGAGACCAACTCATGCACTTAAGAAAGAGACAAACTTATCAAAGGAGGATGTTTCACAATAGTCTTAAAGCCTGGGACTCTATGAAGCACTCTACTAAAGTCACTTTATATTTGATTTAAGTCAGACTGCAAACATGCCCATTAACAACACTGAATCACCTCTGGACAATTAAAACAGAAGATGCTACCGGCAACACGGAAGATACAGTAGCTGCACTGCCACTACTTAAGGCTACCCCTGAGGTTAAACCCAAAATGTAAATGCCTTGTGCTTCACTACTGCCTAGTGCACTCACCATGGACCACATTGCCATCAACAGGAATAGGAAACCGTGAGCTTATTCAACTCCCAAAACGTGAAGCAAACCATTCAGAGCAGATTTGGGAAACAGCACCTCCAGTTGTCTCTCCTAGAGTCATGGTCTACCACAGTTGCTCTGAAGGAGCAGAGCCTAACCCAGACTCTGGCTGTATCGGTCTGCACTGTTTGGTCCATTTGCTGAGGGAAAGCACAATAGACTGGCGAGGTGCCCACCATCCCCAGCTCTCAGCCCGAATTCCACTTCAGGCAAGGAGGTGACAGGGAGCCTGTAAGCCAATTCACTCTGCTGCTATCTCACATTGCAGTGCATCTGCTCCTATCTCACATTGCAGTGCATCTGCTCCTATTCCACTGTTGAATCCACTGGATTCACTACAGCCGTGCTGGGCAGTACACCTGCATCAAAGGTACCAGTGGACTGACTGGATATGGATTTGCACCTGCAAGGAGACAGCACGGAAGCATCAAGGATCCAATAAAACCACAGGAAACATTTCAAAAAATTATGATGGAAGAGGTGTTTTCTACTATGAAACTCCACCTGTTCAACTCCAGGGTCCAGTGTATTAGCTAGGGCATGGAACCAACTTTGCTGTAATTATAATTAAACATCACCTGGAGTTTACCTAAGACCAAGCACTAGAAAAAAGGATGTCAGTAACCAAACTTTTTGAATGCTGCTTAAAAGCCAGATCAGATTCACTTACCTGTTATTCTCTTTTCTTTATTCAAGTCAATCTGCAACCACTGATGTTCATCACTGATAAAAGCAGCCCAGGGAGGACCAACCCTTTTTAGTCTGGCATTTTCAGGTTTCCAGATGTTCATTTGTCCTGTTCGGTCAGGCCACTCAAGAATAGACGATGCTGTGATCTGGGAGTCAGGGATTACTCCAGATTCCATCCCCAGTGTCCCATAGCAACCTGAGCAAGAGAGAAAGAGGATTCAAAATGAAAATTCAAGTTACTCAATGATTTCACCTGCTTGGAGTTTAAGACTTTACATGCAAATATTAAACTGCCATCTAAGTTTATTCCATAATAACACTACCAACAAAACACACTGTTTTCTGCTAACAGTGATGCTGGAAGCAAACTTGGGGTCATGACTGTTCTATGATTTATGTCTGCTCAAGAGCATGTGGATATTCTCTCAGTTACCATCCACACAGAGCACTACACGAGAAGCTCTAGGGGAGGTGTCATGGTTTAGAAGCATGTATGATTAACAAAGAGATGGGAAACAGACGACTTGATCATTCTTTTTTGTGTCACAGAACTTTTTGGGTTTTAAACCCACCTTGGTATCACAATGTTAATTTGAACAATACACCATAGCATGTAGGAAGCTGTTGTCATAATCCTGGCCTTGAGCTCAAACATATCCTTGAAATCAGTTGTATTTTTCTGTCACTATTCTTACTAAAAGTTTCTTCCCATGTCACGTTCTGCTGATGGCTAATAAATATCTCCTAAATTCCTGGCTAAACTTCCTTGTGGCTATTTGATATCCCATTTTCTTTTTGCTAAAATCTTGTTCTGTAGTGACAAGTTTTCCCTTCACACGTGTATTCCCCAGACATATCACTTGAGAACAATCTTTGCCTTCAGTACGCCAGCCTGAACAACCAACCCATGGTTTCCCCTTTGCTGTTGGCTCCCCCACCCCCTGGAGGTGCCCCTGCAGCCCTTCTTTCCATCAAGGTCGGGTGCTCATGCCTCAAAGGAAGTACAGGTGGCAGACCCGAAGCGCCACTGGATCCCAGACAAAGCCTTGCCAATATCCTGTGTGATAGCATTTATAGTTTGTTGTTTCTACTAGACATAACCTCCTACAACGCATGATTACATTAGCACTTCACTAATCCTTTCCCTCATCTGTCATTTCCATCTAACATGCTGCCGATTTGAAGCAGAAATGCCAGTCTCTACATACCCAACTTTATACTTTTTGTTCTGCAATTCTTAAATTAATTTCTATTACTCAAGTCTCAAAGTCAGCCAAGTTTTCCTGTACAAACTTTCACCTTCCTTTGCACTGGCCATACCTCTAGCATTAATAACACACTCCTCTATTTTGTACCAAGTCATGAAGTCAACTGCTACAGAAGAATCCCATGAGTAACTTCACCACACTCTGATAAACCTCATTTGAACATAATATGGAATTCTTTTTCTCCTTCAGCAAACTCCCAGGCCACCCAAATACACAAGAATTTTAATCTAGACCTGTACCTCGTCTCTATCTTATTCAATAATTTTTCAAATGTGTGACTGAAATCCAGATAGTCTAGCTCAGCATTTTGTCCTAGCTCTTCATATATCCAGGCCATTTACTTCCTTTTCTATACACTATCAGATCACATTCTGAGAGACAAAAAAAAAACAACCAAAAACCAATAAACCCTGCCTCGACCACTGTGTTTAATATTCTCCATGCATAGGGTCACCAGACATGCAATTCCTTCTTCCAGCTCTTACAGGGGTCTGGGAGAGAAATTACTTGAACATTATGTCTTGTTTGTATACATTTCCATCTCCAAACGCTCCTGCCCATCAGATTCCTGCTTATATATCCCCATTCAGCATCTCTTTTATTTATATATTAGGGAAAGTATTTGTTTACTTTTGAAGAGTATGTGTATGATTCCCCTCCCCCTTTCTTTTTTGTTTTGCTCTTTATTCTTACAAAAAACAGACAAAATTCTTTTGTTAAGGTTTTTTTATATTGTTAGTTAAAGAAACTAAGGAAAGGCCACTGATTTCACAATACTTTAAATGCCATCTCTGAATAGATGTTAGAAGTGACTTACAGAAAAGCTACCTTTCATTTAGAAAACTACAGCTAATTTATTTATGAACCAGGGAAATTGCTAGAAAGTAAAAACATGAAAAGCAGTTAAGACCTAAAAAAGGCTTTGGTGTAACACTTGTTATACCAATCAGCAACCTCGTACATATTTCAGAAAAAACACGGTGGTCAAGAAGGAACACAACTTACATACAGAGCAAGGGCCCAAGAGATGCCCTTCCTGAGCAAGAGATAAGTAATCTATCTCTTTCATCTATAGCTTTCATCTGCAATAGTATGGGAAGATAAAAAGTAAAACAGGATGGAAAAAGTTGAGGAATCATTTTAGGATTAACAATATGCTTTATTTTTATGGGATTTAGCAATATGTTTAAAGTATAGGAGTCACTTTAAACCAGACTATAAGAGAGGAACATAACCTGAAAGAATCTCTTTCTGCAAATAAGCAAGGTTTAATTTATACATATATATATATATGTAGAGATGATTAATCATCAAAATGAGGAAGTAAAGTTAATTAAAAATACACATTAGTGAGGAATGCAGGGAAAAAAGTCTAACAAGCAAAAATTAAGAAATAAAACACCTGCACACTTACTTATTTCTACTCACAAAATTTGTATGAAAGTATCAACATGCAATACATGTGATAATGCTTACCGCTCGTCTTGAATGTGAAAAGACCAGTAGATAACAGTCCCCTGCAGAGAACAAAAGAAGATGGGTTCTGTGGTAGTCAGTGAAGAAAATGAAACAAACATTCTTCAGTTTATTTTTCTTGCATTAATGTTTGCCACTGAAACCTATGCAGAAATGCCTAAACAAGCACTTCACAATTAAAGTAACACTTCCCATCACCAAGTTGGCAGCACTTTCAGTACAGACACCTTTCCAACTGAAATCTAGCCCAGTGATATTATCAGACTTAAAGGCTTTCAAACAAACACCTGCCCAGAAAAACTCAAGACTTCATTAAAATGCTTCCCTTTTAAATTAAACTAATCACAATAACAAGAACCAATCTCCTCTGATTGCTTTAATTCCTGGGACTTTTGAGATAAAATGACATGCTCTTTCTCTGCAGCTAGAAAGTTGTTGTTAAATTATTATATTTCCACAGAGCATTAGGACTTTATGGTCATGCCATGCATTTTGGAAGATACAAACTACCCCTTGCAGAATTTGGAAAATTCATCTTTATGGTGTAGAGGTTAAAATATGTGATAAAAGAGTCACACCACAGCAAAAGAGCATTGCGAGAACCTTCCAGAAGAAAACCTGTCCATGGAATACACAGCTCCACCAGCTGAAATTAATTCCACAATTAGACACTACCACGACCTCACGTGCTACATATAAGGAGAAGATAGGAAATATACTCACACTTTTGAGGTGACATTGTTAGCCAGGGAGCCTTCATAGTATGGAATGCCCTTGCTGATTACAACATTAATTTGGCCACCCAGAGTATTTGATACAACGCCTGCATGAATACCAGCCATACAAAGTGATGATGACTTGAAGAGAAAAAGAAAATGCAATGCTGATTTGTAAATAAGTTAAAATACTACACTGTATATTGTAAATGCTACATTGTCTAGTTATAGTCTTTGCTATTATTACATTAAGACACTGTTCTTATTTAACCGTATCTCCATTATTTAGAAACCATTCATCTTCAGTTTATTATGGAATTTATAAAAACATAAAAAGAAGGTCCTACATTTCAATGCATCCTTGTCCAGATGTATTTGGAGTATAACTCATGTAATTAAATAAGCTCAAACAAACAGCAAGGTGACTGAGCCTGAAAATGCCAGATAGCCAGACTTTCAGCCTACAATAAATCTACTATGTTAGACAACAGAAGTTGAATATATAAATACATAGGCAACTTTTTAATAGAAAGCACATTGAAAGTATATTTATTTCCTCACAATTAAGGAGTGATGCATTGCAGATTTTGTAGCTGTTAGCTGATAGGTTATATTTTTTAACTCATGGTTTAACCACAAAGCACTCTGATCCACACAAGCCCACACTAAATACATGAATTCCTTCTAAAGAAGCTGATTACCTAGCCTGTAAAGGTCAATGGACATCAGTTACACAAAAAGTTTTTGCAGGACATCCTGTCCTTTTCTGCTCTCACTGGAAAACTGTTAGCCTGGATCCACTAACAAATGTCACAGTGGCACTTCCATTTCCCTGGCTTGCAGGCTACCTGTGCCACTGAGAGCAAACAAAGTCCACTGGTAGCTGTTGCTACTAAACATATCTGCTGCACTGCTCTGCCAACCAGTCCACTAGGTGCTGTAGAGTCCCGCTACAAAAGGAATCAGCAGGTCCTTTCCACAGAAGGAAGGCTTCATGGATGATTTTCTTTCTCACATTATTTTAAAAACAAAACAACTTTATCCACTGTGGCTTCTTTAGAAATAACTGCACGGTGCAGCAGGCAAGGATGCCCATATCTCTCAAGCTAACCAGCAAAAAAAACCTTGCTCACCAAGACTTTTCCAAACATAATTCTCCTCAGTATATTCACTCATAAAAACTCTAATGCTATTCCCCACCCCCAAAATATCCCCAAAGCATTCTAAATAAATGTAATTGTCTCATTTGTGCTGCAGCTCCTCTTTCCTATGTTCCCTGGAAATAAGAGCAGTGATGCAGCTCTCGCCTCTCCCTGCTCACCAGAAAATGTCAGCAATGAGAGCTCCAAATCCTCAAGGACTGTGGACATTGGGGTCGCACACAAAGGAATCAAGATCTAGGGTATTTTTTAAAGTAGCAAGCAACTGCTATCATTTAGAAGAGACGCATGAGAGTTTGTATCTGGAATTTGGTGTAAAGGGCCAGACCATTTGATTTGTTTCCACACAGCCTGACTTCTGCGAAATTCTCTGCCCTTTAACAGCAATGAAGTATATGAAAAGTCACAAGACATTTATTTCCTTAAGTTTCCTTTTTCCTCCATAGAAAACAGTTTCCCAGATTTTGGGAAAAAAAAAAAAAAAAATCCCAAAAAGCGTAAGTCCCACAGATGCTGCCAATATGTTAGGCAGAGAATCAATCTCAAGCTACAAAAATTACCTCACAGCCATTTAGAAAGAACTCGCGGTGGACCAGAACATGTAACACAGTTATGCTGTACATGACATTTTTACATATGGGTAATTATTTAAATAGGTATCCTACGATTTTGATGTTTGAGAAAACAAAATCAGAGACATGCACTTCGGGTTCATATTTAATATTAAAATTTTTGCTTATTAATGTTTTTTAATTGTCTTTCCTCTGTGTCAAATCTAATGGCTTCCTAAAAGAATATTTTAAGCAAAGAAATTTAATGTAATCTTTTACTAGATTACTAGCAAAATTCTTAAATTCTTAAAACACTTAAAAAAAGCAAACTCCCTCCAGTCCTATGGCAGGCTAATTCAGTTGTACAAGCTTACATCAGAAAAACACTATATAGGGTTTTGTAGTGTTCTAAGCAAACTGTACATTATTAAAGATTTTAATTTCCTGTTTACAGAACTATTAATGTTGCAGCATTAACTCTGTTCTGAAAATGGTTTCATAGCTTGCAAGCATAAATAGTAGTTAATCTTTCACGCTGCAAATAAAAATTAAGAAAACCACTGTGACCCTCTGTTTAGAGAGGCATTACAGTTGTCAAAACCAAGATGGCATCATTAATAGAACTGGTTCTCTAAATCTGAATTTCCCAACCTGAGAAAGCCAACAAAACCAAAGAGAAAGTATAACACATTATTTTGATTGATCCACCTTTCTCAGCAGGCCTTAGTGTCTCTACCACATCACTTGTTTGAGATGGCAACATCTGAAGCACTGGGCACTTAGCAGCTGTGCACAAAAACCAAGTACCATGCTATTCAGCTTTAGGAGGAATATATTCCAGAATCCAGGCAACAGAACTAACATGAAGAACTATAAATGACTTGTAATTATACACTGCGTGTTTTAGCAAAACTCTCATGAGACCACAGTATTTTTACTCACATCTCTGTATCCGTGGGGAATAGTGCCTGAAATATCAGCAAAAGGAATCACACATCCAGCTGGACAATACTTACTAGAAGAAAACAAAATATCAAGTCAAAAGATGCATGCAACTACAAAATAGTCACTGTGCTTTTGATTTACACTGCTATCATTCATATATCACTATTTAAGGATATATCCTGATTGAAGACCTATCAAAGCAGAAAAAAATACTCAGGAAGAGAAGTACACAAGAGGAGAACAGAACATGTAAAGAAGATTTTTAAAAGTCTCATCTGAAAATACAGTTCTAGTCTCAATATAATAAAGCCAGCATTTCATAATATAAACACTGCATGGCTTCTGTAAATTGAAAGTCATATAGGTAATGATATTAACAAATTTTATTTTATAAACTAAACACCTGCATCTCTATTTGGTTTGCACCTTTAAATAATATATCTGAAAAGTAATGCTATTATACAATATTCCTGGCAATGCTTTCACCATAAAAAGCTGGCCAAATTCAGTTAATACCACTAGCTCATGAAAAGCAAGAGGCAAGACATCTGCACCTCTAATGCAAGCCCATGTTCATGTCCTGGTGCCATCTCATACTGCACATACAAAAACTATTAAATCTTCATAAATCTTCAAGATCTAGCAGTGAACTGGAATAAACCATTAACATTTTCACTGCAGTTCAACATTGCCGGTACCACGGAAATAGTGGGATTCAGAGACTTAAGCACATGAGGTATAAGGCCAGAAGCTACAATTAGAGCCCTGTTTTGGAACTTCGGAAAATTAAAGAGAAATGCAAAAGTTGCACTTTGAAACACTTCACCATGGCAGGGATTAAGATCTCCAAAAAGTAAGCTATGTACTTCACAAGTCTGCAGTTTTAAACACTGCCCTTGCTTTAGATGAAAATAGAGAAGGATAAAACATGGAAATGACTTCAGCTTCCCCCATCAGAAGGCACAGCATTTTATGTCTTCAAAGAACCCCATTAATTCACACCAAACTATGAAATGGGATTGCAATTTTTAACACATTTCATAGTGCTCCTTAGGTAACTGCAATATAAATTTCATCATTCAAGGTGTATACCTTCTGTAATATATGTTTATAAAAGCAACGTTCTGTCTATGGAAATAAGATATTAGCTTCTATACATTAATGCAAATTAACGAGGTTCTACTGTATACTGCATGTAAATAACAAAAAAAGAGAGACAGAGGGAGAAAGGAGGAGTGCAAAGATCAAAATTACCCAGCTCTAACCCTGATTAGTTTGTTTCTCAAGTTCTTTGGACAAGCCACAGCTGCATCAGGTATATGTAACAGTGAAGCGAAAACACTAAAATTACTCCTTTAAAGAGACTGAGGGGAAAACAGATTAAAAAAAAAAAAAAAAAAAAATCAGTCTTACTTGAATTCTGGTTCGGAAAAGTGACTTGCATTGTCTAGACAGGTAATTAGGTCTGGAAAGAAAAAATGTTAGGTCAAGAGGATGATACAGAAAACAAGTTTGAGTAGGCTTTTTAAAGTACACAAAACCAGAAGCCTCAGAATGAAAAAAACATTTAGTTCCTACCAAATTTTCTTGCAACAGATTTTGTATCACAGTAGAACCTTGGTAATTTGCCTGAGTAACTGGGAAATCCATTGAGAAAGTGACATAGATAAGAAGATAAGAACATACTATAAAAATTTGTTTTCTATGCAACTTAGTTTTAATTCATAGCTATACCTCAGAGAGCCTAAGATAGAATCATAGGCTCACAGAAACATAGAATAGTTAGGGTTGGAAAGGACCTTAGGATCATCAAGTTCCAACCCCCCTGCCATGGGCAGGGACACCTCACACTAAACCATCTCACTCAAGGCTTTGACCAACCTGGTCTTGAACACTGCCAGGGATGGAGCATTCACAGCCTCCCTGGGCAACCTATTCCAGTGCCTCACCACCCTAACAGGAAAGAATTTCCTTCTTATATCCAATCTAAAAAATAAGGTAATCTATAGCTCCTGAAGGTTCAGAAGCCTGTAAGAGTACTGAGAAGCCACAATAAACGGCTAATTAGGAAAACCAAGCCTCACGGCAGCTTCTCAGTTAATTCATAGAGGTAACATTCAAATTCAAGATGCCAAACCAAACAGATGCTAGGAGAGTGGTGCATATCCAAGGAAGGCAAGAAACTACCTACCAAATTCATTCAGCTCAGCAATTTTTAATTTCAACTTTAAAATCAATAATTCCACATCTTTTCTTTTTCAGAGATGCAAACTTATGCTCTTTTCACAAAATTCAAAATTAAATTAATAAACTAACTAAACAGACCTGCGTTTTCAGCATTTAACAGTCCTGCAGTACTGAAAATAGGCAGCATAGGGAACAAATACTAGAGTGACATGTTACTTACATCCATGGCTGATACTTTCACTTTTTGTCTACTGTGTATCAGCATATACAGTGCAAAATACAGAGAGAAAAGAATCAGAAAACCCACAGAAATTGCAAAAAGACTAAAAAGTAGTCAGCAGATTATATAATTAAAGAGCTGAGGGAGTACAGAATACCATTACTGAAATAAAATTTTCCATGACTGTACAAATACATATAGCTCGATAAGAAAACTTATTATCTGTCACCTTGAGTGCTACCTGAAAAACAAATGCATTTTGTCCTTTATCTGAACCAGCTCTTTAATTCATAACAAATGACTCTGATTCTTCCTCTGCTACCCAAGGTAAGGTCTGATACTATTTTTTTAAAGCTACAGTAACTTACAGTCCAATTTCCTACACAGAAGTACCAGCAAGGCCATAGTAAAAGTCTTCATTTTTAGAAGGTAATTTGCGAAAATGTGTAAATAAATAAATTAGTTCTGGTTTCTTAGCTCTACTTTTACCAGCACATGAAAAATACCAAATGATTATAAATACCTGATTTCTCAGTGGTTGAATAAGCTGCAAGAAATCCACGTCCAGAAGTATGTGTTCCACTCATGAACTGTACTGTGACTTCATTACTTTTTGAAGTAATTAAACCATCCATTTGAAAACCAAACCCACAGTATTTTCCTATAGAGAGGAGTGGAAGAACAGACATGGACCAAAATCAACATATGTAATAAGTATCTCTTTTCATTTGCAGTGTAAGCTCATGTTACTTTTGGTGAATAGTGAAAAACAAATACATGTGCACTAAATAACGTAGTCAGTGACCATTTAAAGCAAATGGCAGAATATGGGTAATGCATTTCTTTTGCCACTGTCCACAGGTGTCTCTCAGACCTTTAACACTTGCAAATAAATGTGACCTTATCCCATTCACGTGTAGCATGCATAACCCCCACACTTAGTTCTTCAGAGATCTCAAGTAATCTGTCAAGGAAAAGGATCAAGTCAGTGCAATGAGAAGCATCTAGAGAAGCAAGTGAGAAAAAAGCCCATCTCTTCCCACAGCTCTTGGGGCACTTCTTGTCAACTATTTCATGGTTTCCATCAACTATTTTCCTTAGTTTTGGACAAGAGCAAGCATGATTCACTCCAGTTCAGCATTAACATACATGGATATATGAGTACCATTAATATAAACTGCCAGTTGGTTCACTTTCTTTTTTGCTGTAACTATAAAATCTAACAGAGATTCTGCATCCGGATACTTCTCTTGCCATCCAAAATGACCAAAAAGAATACATTTTAAATGGAGATGCTGCAGTCTGTAGATATTGACAATACTTGCCCCATGAAGTCCTAGAATTACTACCAAATAACACCACCTGGATGAATTCTCCAGTCCTACTAACTAAAAACTTGAGTAAAATACTGATCAGTTTATTAATCAATTAAGAAAAATAAAACAAAAAGTAATCAAACACACCCCACACCCCACACCCCCCCATGCTTCTGTTCTATAGGTTCCCTTGATCATTCAATACTGTAAACCATCTATAACCCTGTCGTGGTTTAACCTAGCCAGACAGCGGAGGGGGGGGGGGTCGAGGCCCGGGTTCCTGCCCAACTAAGGGGCTCTCCCCTTCCCTGCTCCCAGAGGGACGGGGAGGAGGATCGAAAGAGTGCAACTCCCACAGGTTGAGACAAGAACAGTCCAGCAACCAACGTACAACACAAATCACCAGCACTACCACCAACGACAACAATGATAAGGGAAAATAACAAGGGAAGAGAATACAATACCACTTGCCAAAAAATGAGTCTGACCCAAAAGACCCCATGTCCTTCCAGGTAACTCCCAGTTACCCCCCCTGGGCATGACGTGCTCTGGTATGGAATACCTCTTTGGCTAGCTTGGGTCAGGTGTCCTGTCTGCTTCCTCCCAGCTTCCCCTCCTCCCTGGCAGAGCATGAGGCTCAGAAAGTCCTTGGTTAGGGTAAACATTACTTAGTAACAACTGAAAACATCAGTGTTATCAGCACTGTTCCCAGGCTGAAAGTCAAAACACAGTGCTGCACCAGCTACCAAGAAGGAGAAAAACTGACTGCTACTGCTAAACCCAGGACAAACCCTATTAAAATTCTACAGTGGATAATCAAATGGATAATCACCAGCAGCAAATGACATTGCATATGTTTCAGTTTACCATCCATTTATTTGCTTTCTTGGTAATAACTATTTTAGTATAACATAAAATAGGGAAAAAAGAAGCCAGACTCATTTCTCAACTAAAAGCAAATTACAATACTAAAGTAGAGGGAATGGAATAACACTGTCCTGCAGGAGTAGTTCTTAACAAATATAATACAAAACAAATACAAATATAACACAAATGAATACAATATGTCAAATCCCTTTAAAAAGTGAACCACGCTCACAAATACTAATATAATTTTAAAAAAATTTAAATACGATTTCCTATCATTATTCAGAGCTTTCTGAATGTTACTTATTCAGTTATGTCTTGAACATAGCAAGGGTATTTTCTAATGGAAAAAAAAATAAAGTAGTTTAATGAAATTTATAAAATACAAATATAACTTTACCTCAATTCACTACTTAAACTGATTATCAGCAATAGTTAACAAATAAGTAAGGCTCCACACTGACCCTATGTTTTGCTTTAAATCGTATTTCGATGATTAACTAACTACATTAATTATGATGAACTGTGCCATTTTTTCAACTACCACTTCTCCTTTTTTCAGTCACTGGATCTTGTCACACAATTGACCAGCATGAGACTGCTCTCAGGGTAGGTCAGACTGTCCTCAAGACACCATTTATACTCGCCTTCAAGCAAATACACAAGGCAACACATTTAAATCTAGATTGGATAAACTATTCAGGGGTGCATGCACCATGGAGATACAGCCTTCGACAAACTGTAGACTAATGTACCTTCTGATTCATGGCAAGACATATACTTCTGAGACTATAAATCATTTTCTAACTCTCCCCTGGCCTCTCCACAGATTTTTAGCAATCTTTTCAAAAAACAGGCAATAGAAACGTACAAAACATGACTGCCAACGGTGCATGCAGAAGATGTAATATTGCTATTTTTTTCTGTACTTATCCACTAAAGGACTCCAAGTGCTTTTGTGCAGCAACATTACAACAGGAGAGGGAATTCCCACAGTAGTGTACATTCTCTGCTCCTAGAGGTCTGGGCTTACGCTGTCTATATTAAATAAGTACACCTGACTGTAGATGCACAATGACTGGACTGTGATGAAATCTAATAAAAAACACCTCTAGCTCTTACTTAAACTAGAGACAAACTTAACATCATGGATTTGTATCTTCTTTTGATATATTGATAAATATTCAAAAGACTTGCAAGGAGAACTAGTCCTTAAAAGCTTCATTAGAAACCTTCTCTGTTTATCAATGAACTAACTTACTCCTAATGCTTTTTTTTAACCTAATCAGCCAAGTTTCAAGTCATTTTGGGTTAAAGTAGGTATCATGGAATTTCAGATTTTACGTAATACAAGTATTTTAATTTTAGACCATGTCAGTAGTCCTGAATGGAAAAACTCAGAATAAATCTAAATTTTCTCCAAACAAATTCAGGTCACTGTTTAATCTCTCCAGTGTTTGTTACTTCAACCATGAACATTCAAGAACCTGCATCATCTGTATCTGACACTGTTAATATCACTGTTTGTCCTGTGATTTAATTTTGAGAGCAGAACACACAAATTTGCTCAACATACTGTGCTACTACACCAGCTGCGAACAGCTGAACGTCAAATGAACAAATGAAGTAGAAAACTTACTCGAACCCACTAAGTCACTTGTAAAAGTGAATAACAAACTTATCAGAACTGGACATTCCTTGCCATTTAAGGACTGCAGCATTTCCTATTTTAGACTAAGTCTGGCTCAACAGCTCCAAGCATATACTTATTTTCACACACACTTACCTAGGTGACAGTTGGAAAAGAGGGTTACCAAAGCTAAAATTCCACTGGCCTCTTATAAAAAGACACAGTTTAGTGGCTCGGCATTTGAGTTGAACAAAACCAAATTAGATGAAGTGAATCTCTCTCTCTCCAGATAAAGCTTTATTAAAAAAAAAAAAAAATAAAACAAATCTGCAAAATAGCAGCTAATTTTAGTGAAGGAAGAATGAAAATTCATTTTGATTTTTATGCAAAGTAACCAACAAGGGCCTTTAAACCCTACCTTGATGTGGATGATAATGTTACACTGCTATTTAAAAAAAACCCTGCCTTATAGTAATGAAATTCAATTTGTTCTCTTCTTGAGCACAAACATTGAACTAAAGACATTATCAGAAGATGGGAAACATCTGAACTACACAACTTTTGAAGACTGACATCCTTTAATACCGTCAAGATGAACAATTCAAATCAGAACAATTCCATATAAAAAGAAAGGTATTTCAGGTAACATGTATATACAACTTTCTTTTTTTTTTTTCTGTTAATGAAGATCCTCGTAGTTTTGCAATTCCCTCTCCACTGTTTATAGGAACTTTGCAAGCTATTGAGAAACGTCTGAGAAAAAAACAAGCCCAAAAACATTACAGGAGAGTTTCCCTTGAAAGTCAGAAGAATCAAAGATTATTATATGAACTGTGTTGCATTTACCATCTAGTTTTTGCATGCACAAACAAAATGTAGGATGTTCTGCTATCATTGTTACACAACATCATTTTTTTAGGATATAGGAATTGTGTCAAGAAGAGACATTTACATATGCTTTAATAACAGTAAACAAAATGCAATGACTTAGAATACTCTGGCATCCCAAACAGAGAGGTCATCTGCTGAGCTACAATGCTAAGTGTATTTTAAATGAGCATGACACCAGTGAAAGAAAATCAGATGACTGTTTTCTTTACCACTTTACTTTTAGAAAGTTAGTTGCACCTGTATTCCCTCCCTGTACCGAAGACCTATATGCTATACAAGAGAATCTTTCCTTACCTGTTCTTTCTAGCAGTACCATCAATAGTAAGTTTACTTACTGGTCACTGATGTCTAGTTTTCTAAAGTACACACAGCACTCCTCAAAGATTTGCACTTAACTCATGAAGGTCAGCAAGGCCAAGTGCAAAGTCCCACACCTGGGTCGAGACAATCACAAGCACAAATACAGGCTGGGTGGAGAATGGTCTGAGAGCAGCCTTGAGGAGAACTTGGGGATGTTGGTTGATGAGAAGCTCAATGTGTCCTGGCAGTGTGCAGCCCAGAAAGTCAACTTTATGCTGGGCTGCACCAAAAGAAGCATGATCAGCAGGTTGAAGGAGAGGATTCTGCCCTTCTATTCCACTCTCATGACACCCCACCTGCAGTCCTGCTTCCAGCTCTGGGCCCCAACACAAGAGGGATGTGGACCTGCTCGAGTGAGTCCAGAGGAGCCCAAAAAGATGTTCCGAGGGCTGGAGCAGCTCTGCTGTGACGACAGGCTGAAAGAGTCGGGCTTGTTCAGCCTGGAGAAAAGAAGGCTCCAGGGAGACCTTAGAGCAGCTTCCAGTGCCTATAGGGGGGCTACAAGAAATCTGGAGAGGGACATTTTACAAGGGCATTTAATGATAGGACAAGGGGTAATGGCTTTAAACTGAAAGAAGGTAGATTTAGAACAGATATTAGAAAGAAATTCTTCATTGTGAGGGTGGTGAGGCACTGGCACAGGTTGCCCAGAGAAGCTGTGGCTGCCCCATTCCTGGCACTGTTCAAGGACAGGTCAGACAGGGCCTTGAACAACCTGGTCTAGTAGAAGGTGTCCCTGCTCCTGTCATGGTGGCTGGAACTAGATCTTTTAAGGTCCCTTCCAGCCCAAACTATTCAATGATTCCTTGATATGAAGTACAGGAAGAACACAATTCTAATTACAGATTTACTGAAATTCCTTTCTTCACCTTATTGGAGATTCCTGTAAATAAAAAACACTTCCTTCTTTTCATCACTTCTCATAAGGCTCAAAATTCACACTGTACAAAGCAGTGTATGATATATTCAGGCAAGATCTTACCCTGCCCAATATCCAACTGAATGATAACAGCTTTGTAGGGCTATGAAAAAGTACTTAACTATACTTGCAGTAGTTACTCTATGCTCAGAGCAGGTAAACAGGAGAAATTTTAGAAGAAACAAAAGTACCAACAGTATATCCAAGTTCTGTACCAGTCTATAGCTTTCAAATACCAATAATAAAAGCTCCTACCTATCTCTGTCCTGGTGGGGCCAATCCCATTGTGAACTCTTAAGTAACTGGAATGACATGAATCTGAGTCATCAATATCAAAATCACCAAATTTGAGCTGAACTCGCTGCCCAGGCTTTACACGAATTTCCCATTCACAAACTGTACTATTGGGAGAGGTCTGTGGGTAGTTTATTGAAGCAAGAGTTCCACTTTCGGGGCCCAGGATGGTGTGTCCACATCCATCACCTACAAAAGAACAAAAACAAATTAGCTACACACATTCATCTTCAAAGCTTCACTGGTGATTTAGCCATCCTGGGTTTCAGCAGTGGTATGGGATTTGTTGGGTTTTAACTGCAGTATCACATTGCAAGTGAACAGGAAGGTAAATCACATGCAGATGGAACAGTAATTGTGAGAAATACCAGTCAAATAATGTTGCATAATGTTAGGTTCTCATCACAGGTGACCAGAGAGCTGCTACAACTTCCTCAACAAGATAAAAATTAATCCACAACCACTTAAAAAATTGAACAGACATTACAGGAAGTATCGCTGCTATTTCATGTTCCCTTAATACCTATGTACAAAAGAAAACAGGTTCTGAAAAGGAGGGAGAAGACTGCCAATAAAACAAGAGCACATCAGTTTTATAGCTGTTACTGTATTCACAGCACGAAAAAAAACAGAAGTGAAAAGACAATGTACAAAAGTGAAAAGACAAAGCAAATACTCTACTGAAAAATAACTGCCAAGTCTGACCATCATCAAACTTCTAGTGCGTTGTTTTGTTGCAGGAACAATACTAAAGACTTGTTTAAAGATGAGAAAAAAATAGCACAAATGGTATATTCTCAAAATCAAATTATAAAGAGCAAACTGATAAATCTGTTTACTCAACAGCAAATCTGGTGAGGTTGACCCAGCACTGCTGCACCCCTTCAATGGGATTCAGGGCCTGCAGCCACAGGAGGCGAGGGGGAGCTGCCTGCGGGACAGCGCCACAGATGTAGGGTGCTGCGCAGTGGGGCTTTGCAGGATGTGGCTCATAGAGGCCCCTCAGGACAGGGCAGCCCTCTGGCTCACCCTGACTGCTACGGGGTGACCTTGGAAACCACCCCATGCCCGTCACTGCATAGGGCATCACTACTGCCCCATGGGACGGATGTGCCCTGGGTCTGGCTGCAATAGCTTATGTTAATGGGAATACAGGTGAGGTGGAGGTGAACAGTGCAGAATGGGACATGTGGAGGAGCGTCTGTCTGTATGTAGTACAAGAAGTTTAATTAGTTATCTGTTGTTTTTGAAATAACATCCTTTCAATAACATCCACCATCACCAGCTCTTTGTAAATTACTCTATCAAGATCACAGACTCATAGAATCATAGAATAGTTGGGGTTGGAAAGGACCTTAAGATCATCTAGGTCCAACCCCCTGCCCCCCCTGCCATGGGCAGGAACACCTCACACTAAACCATATCACCCAAGGCTTCATCCAACCTGGCCTTGAACACTACCACAGATGGAGCATTCACAACCTCCCTGGGCAACCTATTCCAGTGCCTCACCACCCTTACAGTAAAGAGCTTCCTCCTTATATCCAAACTAAACTTCCCCTGCGTAAGTTTTAACCCATTACCCCTTGTCCTGTCACTACAGTTCCTAATGAAGAGTCCCTCCCCAGCATCCCTATAGGCTCCCTTCAGATACTGGAAGGCTGCTATGAGGTCTCCACGCAGCCTTCTCTTCTCCAGGCTGAACAGACACAACTTTCTCAGCCCATCTTCATACGGGAGGTGCTCCAGTCCCCTGATCATCCTTGTGGCCCTTCTCTGGACTTGTTCCAACAGTTCCACATCCTTTTTATGTTGAGGACACCAGAACTGCACACAATACTCGAAGTGAGGTCTCACAAGAGCAGAGTAGAGGGGCAGGATCACCTCCTTCGACCTGCTCGTCCCACTCCTTTTGATGCAGCCCAGGATATGGTTGGCTTTCTGGGCTGCAAGCACACACTGCCGCCTCATGTTCATTTTCTCATCAACCAGCACCCCCACGTCCTTCTCCGCAGGGCTGCTCTGAATCTCTTCTCTGCCCAACCTGTAGCTGTGCTTGGGATTGCTCTGACCCAGGTGTAGGACCTTGCATTTGTCATGGTTAAACTTCATAAGGTTGGCATCAGCCCACCTCACAAGCGTGTCAATGTCCCTCTGGATTTCATTCCTTCCCTCCAGCATATCAACCAAACCACACAGCTTGGTGTCATCGGAAAGTTTGCTGAGGGTGCACTCAATCCCACTGTCCATGTCACTGACAAAGATGACAAAATCGGTCCCAGCACTGATCCAACTAAGTATTCCAGAGCACAAGGACACATCCATCAAAATTAACACCTGCAGTAACATAAACCCCACAAAATACACCTCATAACATCTCTGATTTATTTTTGTTAGCACTGGAGGCTAAAAAGCCTATTTATTGAATTTAGTCCCATGAAACGACTATCATTTTCAAGATCTGATACAAGAAGGTTCAGAGATTCTTTTGTATGTGATCTGTACATGTTATTCTAAAAGATGTTTGAACAATGGATCTTGAACAATGGCAGCAAAAATAGCAGACAAAAATCAGACTAGATAGGGTGCTAAAAGACATCTTCGACATCACTCCAAATACACTTACTATCTGTAGGTCCATTTTACCCTTCAAAATGCCCCTGCATACAGTTCCTACAAAGTGATTACAACAGACTTAACATTATGTCAAGATTTCACAGTGACCAGAAATTCACAATGATCAACATAATTTATATTGACATGTTTTGACAGCTAAAAGTGTCAGTCTGAAAGTGTTTCATATTGCACACTAATATGTCAAGTTCCTCTATTAAACACAAAAAGGTAAGCTAAACTTTAGGAACAAAAGTTGTACACATATTTAGACTTATAACTAATTTTCAAAATTCTTAAATGTGTTTCACCCAAGACTAAATGGAAAAATAAGCCTAACACACATGGGAAAAATGAAAAAGCACCTAATTGCTCTTAACAAAACCTATTCTCTTTATAATCTGAGCAGACTGAAAGAGCTCCATGTTCTAAACACTAAACTGCTGATGGTATATACAGAATCACAAACAGACAAAACTGCAGCTTTTTTTCTTGCTAGCAGTCTTAAATGAAAATAATGAATCTTCTTTGGAAAAGGTAACTGGAATATCTGCTTTGGTAAAATCAAAATTTCTATTTATAAAGCTGTTGTTTAGCCACAGTTTTCTTCATGAATTTTTTGCAGAACACTTCATTCCATCCCCTGACAAATATTATTTCCATTTGGGTGACAGCTGATAAATTACTTTCCGAAATTACTGTTGTGCTAATAGATAAGACACAGTTGTCCAATGTTACAAGAGGTAACTTAAACCTTACATTTTGTGTAACATTTTAATCCTGATTTCTTCTCAAAGGCATGCTATAAACCCAAGAGCAAGTGAAAATTTATCATTCAAAACCTGCATGGCCATGGCTTATTAGTTAGTAAACTTTTAAATGTCAGATTCCTTATTAGTCACAATATGCTTCACAGTCGAGAAAAATACCAATTCCTTTGCTAGTAAACTGGCTTTTCGCAAGCAAGTACTTACACAAAATACACAAAAATAATATTAACAATAAAACCAATACTTGCTGATATTTGTGGCTAGTATTTCAAAACTCTTTATACTGCAGACATATAAAACTGATTTTCAACATAAACAGCAGTTTATGGTTATGGCCTAAATAAAAACTATGAGCCAGTTAACTAGTTCTGTGGTTTTCTGTCTTATGACAGGGGTAAGCAACTGTTTACAGATTGAAAATATTATACAGATACACTAATACAGTGACCGTTTGAACATGAAATCATAGTAGCTTTCACCTGTACAAGCAGATACATTGTTCTGAGTGCATTTAAGTAAAATAAAAATGCTTGCGTGACGTAGAATAATTACTTGGTAATTATTTCTCATTTCAAGGTGCCTATTATTGGGGTTCAGTAACCACACAAATGCTGTTTCTTACAACGAGGAATACCAACAATGCATCTGATAATGTATCTTTGATTATTCCCCAAGCTTTTATATCTTAAGCCTATGTTGCTGGAAGTCAAAACAAAAGACAGCCTGAGTCTCTTCTTTGTCCTAAATAGTATACTTGAACTGTAAATTTCTCCAGTTAAAAGTAGGAAAGATCATACCTAACATTCACTTAAACCATTCTCTTCCCTAGTTTGCTGATTTAAACCATCATCATCACTAGCTTCCTGTTCAGCTGCCTCAAGTATGAAACAGTACTGGCTCTACCTTTGTGCTAGGAACAGGACGCACTTTTCTGACGAGGAAAACAACTCCAAAATCACTCTTACATATTGAGGTGATAAAATGCAAATAAAACATTGTAAGTTTTAAAAAGACATTGAAACTTTTCTTTTATAGACACATGACTAAGAAATGTCAAATTTCCCCTTGTAGCTTGGAACAATCAGTCTTGTTTCCACTGGCTAGAAAGGAAAACTTTCCAACCCCCCTCACACAATTTAATGGAAATGCAAATCTCAAATCTCACTTTTGTTGTAGGCTTTCTGGAGAACATGTGAGGAAAAATATTCCTCTAATCTAGCCATACTGAAGAACTTGCTGTCAAGCCATACTAGAAAGAAATGGAAAGCGGAAGAAAAGTTGTGCTTAAATGCATCTACAAGCATCACCTTATTTCAAAGCTAATTTTTTTCAGGAGCTATTTGGAAATCTCTAAAATACACAGTTTCAGTGAAACTTGTAGAACAATGAAACCTAGTTTTATCTTATTGGTACTATAAAAGGGTATCTCTTTATGTAAGTGGTGCTTCATTATTTCTACCAAAGTTGTATAAATACCACCGATCAACTCCAGAGACACATGCATAAATCCTCTATCAGTGGAGCAATCTGCAATACTCAGCTATTTCTCCAAGAAAAAGTATAGGTCTTAGCACTACAGTCACATATATAGAATAGCTACTTCATTCATTTTGAAGTCATTAAGTGCCACAGAAGCTTTTGTTTCTGTTAATCTGTGTACATGAGAGTGGAGTTTCTGAGAACAGAAGAGGCAGATGTCAATTCCTAAATCAATTATTCATGAATAAGCTGACTTCTGTTGCCAGTACAGAGCTCAATGAGTCTTGCTTTCTTTCAGCCCTGTCACACCACAGACCTACTGCACTT